TTTAGTCATTTTATCTAGTTACATTTTTCTCTTTCAATGGATTTCTTTGATACACTATAAACGTTTATTGTGATTCATAAATAAATGAAAAGTTTTATATTTGAAAGATCATGGGTACTTACGCATCCTCAATGTTATTTTCTCTTGTGTCAATTTTTATAATTACTAAATCAAACAATATTTAGTTTTTCCTTGAATATGTATATACACGATATATTTCTAACGTACTGTTAAACTGATTGACATTATCTATAGATTTAACAATTAATATTAGAGAGCAAATAAAAAAACGTTTTTTTTCTTAATACCTTATGTGAAATATATGCATCTGTTTGTAAGAGTAGAACATGTATCTAAATATAATAGACGTATACCTGTTGATTGGAACAAAAATTCAGTGTATACAAATAAGAATAAAGAAAAAAAAACAAGAAACAGCGTCACTAGGCAACTCGATTCCGTTAGTTACTCGATCGTCGTTGTTTTTTGCATGACATTTCTCGTCATCTTTTGCACGCACCTCATGGATTAAAAAGAATTTACATACACAAAACATACTAGTCGTTTTTCTCCGATCAATACCCAAAGTAAATAGCAAAAAAAAAACAAAAAAATAAACTTTTTTTTTTAAATAATAGATTACTTCTAAAGTAATTACATATCTAGACTATTTGATCTAGTGTGTTTGAAGCAAAGACAAAAAAAAACACAAATTTTTGTCTAATCATTAATTTAAAACACCGTTGAATCAAGAAGACATGCTTAAATAAAGAGAAAACTTAGCATTTGAAATTACATGTTTAGAAAAAAAAGACCTATCGTTTCTTGAGTATTAACTATAAGATTTATATATGGTTGAATAAACGATAATATTCTACTTTCGAAAACATGATAATGTATTGAATTTTAAAGATATTGAAAAAGTTCTTGATATTAATGTTTCTAAATTTAGATATTCGAAGCCTGGAAATAGTATATTAAAACTAAAGCGAAAGTTTAACGTTACAACTTAAGAAAATTGAATTTTTTTCTAATTTAGGATTACTCAGTTATAGTAAATTTTCATACCGATTTTTGAGCTTATTAGTGTGATTTAAGTTTTATTAAATCTCTCCAAGGTTACACAGATACATTCTATAAAAATTTTACCTAGAAGAAATGTTTCACATACAGAAAAAAAAATAACAGATTTATTAGAGAGTAAACTTCAAGTTCGTTAAGTAAACGGCAGTATTATTTAGCGGGATTTCTTTGACAATTAGACACTAAGTAATCGTATTAAATGAGCTGAATATAAAGAAAGACTTTTTCCGGAAGTAAAAATATTATATACAACTGATTATATGAATTTCTCTAGAAATATTATTCCACGTAAAAAGATAAAGCTTTTTGATATCTAATGAAAACGAAAACGATAACAGTCGTTATAAGTATTATGAAATTTTATATCGTTCTTAAGCGTTTCTATAATTATTAGATGTGTGACAGGGCTAATTTGACTAAAGAACTAAGTTATATTTAATGACAAGTAACGCTATTAATCAAAAGAAATAATTTGATAAAATGTTCATTCATTTTTTTTAGCTTTTTAAAGAAGCTTGCAGAAATTTGAAAGTACTGAGATAGAATCAGAATTTTATATTCTTTCCGAATTTATGTTCAAAATTTCTTTTGGACTGCTGATTTAGAAGTTATAAGTCAACTTTTTAGAGGATTGTAAATTAAATTTGAACGAACTTCAACACACCAAAATTCAGTCAAAATAGAAGAGAATATTTGATATATTAATGATTAGTTTGTCATTAGTGAGTACATTGGTAAAAGACACCATATCAATTTATGCCATTATAGAGAAAATTGGTAATATAATATATACAGTAAATGAAGACTATGATTGCAAGAAAAAAAAAACGTCAATTTTTTCTGTCAAATCTTAATCTTCGCTTCTCTACAATGTCATCTCGTGACTTCTAAACGAGAATTGGAAGAAAAATTTTGAATCCATATTCTAAAAGAACACAAAATTCTAATTCTAATTCTATGTTTTCAAATTTCTGTAGATTCTTTTTTATAGACTGAAAAATAAACAAATATTTTATCTTCTTTTAGATTCTATTTTTTGTTAATTCCATATAATTTTGTTTGGTTTATTTTTCTTTTTTCAAAATATAATATTATATTTTTTTGACGATCAATTTTTTTTCTTGATTATTAACTAAATTATATAAATGATCAAAAATCTAGAGTTTTATTTCTTTTTTTCAAAGAATATTTATTACATAATAATAATAATGTTTTGTTCTTTAAATGAAAAATCTCTTAGAAAAATTTTCACTTTTTGAATTTTTTATCATAGATCAATACAATGAAAATAACTATTGTTGAAATAATATTGCTAACAAAAAGAGAAAAAAAAAACTTAGCGAAAATAACAGAAATAGATGAAAGACAATGAATAAGTTTATTTTAAAAATAAATAATGTTTTGTTTTTATTGCCGAGATGATGATGATGATGTTTTTTGATTGGTTATTGTTTGATTTAGTTTAATATCTTTCTTTTTTTCATCATCTTTTTTAAATGGAATTATACGTTCAACCATAGTTTTTTTTTGTTCATCATCATTATCATCATCCAAATCAGCACGGTCAGCATATTCAGCTAGTTCAGGATCTTCTTCAGATTCATCATCAGAATCTTTACTTGCAATATCATCTTCAATTTCATCACGAACATCTTTAGCAAGCATATCACGGAATGTATAATCCTCAGATGTCCAAAAACCATTATCATTACTTGAAGGTTTATCATAAAATTTTTTTGTTTCTTCATCAGGAACAAATCCATTAGATTTAGATGATGATGATTGAGAATAACCATTAGAATATGATTGTTTTTTATTCTTGTATGATTCATTTGTAATACCATATGAAGAATGAGAAGATACCGGTGATCGAGAACGATCAGAACGTTTGTTATTGACCTAAAACAATATAGATGAATTATAATTAAGAATAAATACTTGAATTTATTTAATATTGATGTTTAAGAGAAAAAGCTATAAGCATAATCTCTGCCGAAATTAAAATATACAAAAAAAAACACAATTAATCTGCATAGATTATGAATTGAAAGATTCTACAATATATGCTTTAGTTTAAGACTTACAGTGTACTTACATGTTCTTCGTCATATGTTACGCTAAATTAAGAAAGGGAGCCAAAAACAAAATATTTTAAATTCAATCTTCTTTCATAATAATTCCATAGGAGGCTTTAATTCTTTGACTAAGTCTATCACATGCTGTAGTAAACAAGGACATTATTAAAGTATCTGTCAGAGTGAGAAGGCAGCGTGTTTCTGCCTCTTAATCTTCAATATTTCTTTGAAATCGTGTTTCATAAAACGTTACAATTTTACAATTAATAAATTGTAAAATCTTGCAGTAACTAATGTAGAAGATATTTAGTTTAATATCTATCCGTCAAGGTCTTTTTTTCTATCTTGTATAAAGTCTTATCTTAAATAGATTATTCAACATTGAACAACAGATTTTCTCTGTAAATCACATTCATATTCATAAAATAGATATTATCTTAAGAGTACAGTATCATAAATAAATGCTATATAATTATAACTTTTATCACAGAGCAAGAGAAGAAAATGAAGCTATATTTTAGTTTTGAATAAGTTTAAAATAATTGCATTTTTGCATTTAGAAGATGCTATGTACCCTTTTATAAAAATGTAAAAACCTATAGAAAATCAGTGAACAAGCTGATGAGGAATCCTCCTCAGGTGTCACCTGCCGATTTCAATGAATTTTTTTTTGCCTGTAGATGCCACATAGTGTTCTAGTAAAACCCCTAGAAGAGTTTTCGAAATGTTCATAAAGAGAACTCATTCAGACTAGCTTCAATAAAAAAATTCAGAAGCTTTGAATAAAGTCTTTCTAAGATATGAGACTTTCGAAAAATGTATGTTGTATACATTATTCATGAAAACGAATCTAAAAGAGTCTCATATCTCGACAAGACTTTATTCAAAACTTCTGAATTTTTTTTATAGAAATTACTCTAATTGAATTCTGTCTATGAATCAAGTTTCATATCAAAATTCGAAAATATGAGTTGTCTGAAAACCTAGGACTTCTAGACAATAGACATATTAAAAACTCGATAGTTTAGTCAAATAACCAATAGGAATTCAAATACTTTTACGGTTTGTATTAGAACACTATGAAGTATTCATAGGCAAAAGATCATTGAAACTGGTAGGGGATATCTGAGAGGATTCCCTAATTAGTGATTAAAATCATACATCTAAGAGCCTCATATAAATGACTGTCCTCAAAATAAAGAGTATTTTTGTTTTCTTGTGATCTAAACCAACAAAAGACCATATCTTAATTCATCTAATTCAATTCAATTCTATCATTCAAATTATCACAGACATAAAAAAATGTTAATATAGTTTAAAATTAAAAATAACTAATAGCACTTACTCGATATTTGTAATCGTCATCTTGGTTATCCGAACGTGAATATGATCGACGACTCATTAGTATAATATTTATTAATCTTTAAGATAAATATATCTTTCTATAAATATCAAATGTAAGGTGAATTGATATTTATTTGTTTTTTTTTTTTTGTGTTTTTTGAATTTGCACTCTTGTGACTTCCTCAACTGAATGTTATTAGGTTAATTAAGAAAAAGAAAAAAACCAACGAAGCACAGTGGATAATAATTTGAAAGAAAAGAAAAAAAAAGAACAAACAAACAAATTTACAATACATTAAAGGAAAGGCAAAGAACGCTAAAAATCTGCAGACAAAATTTTTTTTTCGCTTATTTCATCCGTTTTACAAATATATTTTCATATAAATCGATTGATGTCCATCATGTGAAAGAAGAATATATATATATATATGACTAGTGAGCAAAGCATTAATGAAAATTGCACAATAGCGCTTGTGTTGATCTCTTGTCTTTGTGTTTCTACCATAATTGTGTAAATTCAACACCTGTCCAATGTTCTTCACGTTTTTTCCAATAATAATGTGATGGATCTTCATCACGAATAAGTGTATATGAATCACCATCTTGTTTAAACCATTGTGGAGAGAATGAAGAAGCAGAACGTGATCGTTGAGCTGCTTCAATACGAGCTTTTTCTTTTTCAGCAGGTTCTATTTGACCTGCTTCAAGAAGACTAATAGAAATTAAAGAAAAAAGAAATCAACGATTAAATAAATCAAATCAATCAATCAATAAAAATATAACAGACCGTTGATCAGGTCTAAAACGTGTATCAGTCGGTGGTAATTGTTGACGAAGATCATCATCAAGTTCATTCAATTCAATAGCAAATCGTGTAAAACCATAATATTTTTTTGAATTTTCCGGTACAGCACCTATTCAATTAACAAAAATAGAGATTTTCTAAAGAAAGAGCTTCATTCTGTCTTCTCATTATTTAAGTTTCAGACACCAGATTAAAAAATGAATGAAATCAATCTGACTTAATTCTATAGATATATAGTCTTGTCTCTTAATGTAAATATTATTATTCTAATTTTGAAATCTAAATTTAGCTGTTCTTTTAATTATATTATAGACCATATAATGATTGAATAAACTAAACATAGAATTATTTGTTTACAATAATAATCGAGTTTATTGTAAGTACATTCTCAATATTTAACAAATCTATAATACATACTTTGTCGCCAAATACATTTTGCTGTTTTATCATTTCCCCAATAAAGTTCTTCATGCCAACGACCAAATATTTTATGTACTAATCGTCCATTAACATCTTCAACATCTCCTGCAACATTATTTAAACGTGTTCGATAATCACTCTAAAATTAATTAATTAATTAATTAATTAATCTTAACCATGTATCTAATAGACAAAAAAAACAAAATTTCAATACAAACTTGTAGAAAACTAATACGAGCTTTAATTCCTAATGAACTTTCAACAAGAACATCACCATAATGATCAATCCATCGATCGGATGATAAAACATTATGTATACACATTGTACATTTATTCCATGTTATTGTTTCATTATATTTTTTAAATGTTAATATATTTAATGACTCAGGAAAAATTTCTATTCAAAAAAAAATCAAACAAGATTAGTCGTTTATTAAACATATTTTAAAAACAACAACGATATACCCATTGATTTTCCCCAAAATTTAATTTTTGCTTGTAGTGCTAAAGAAAATAGGAAAAAAAGTATATTTTTTTTTCTTTTCGAAAAATTTTTACTTTGAAAAAATGTAAAATTTGGTGAATCACAAGTACAAACACTAATCGGTGGATGATGACTAACCTAAACATAAAATTTTTTTAAAAAAAAAACATGGAAAACAATGAAAAATCTTTTTTTTTATTACTTGTTCAGCAATAAATTTCCATCCTTTATCTTCTCGTATACATTCATATGTTTCACCTAATAATGGATTAAAATTTTTTCTTCCTGTTCGATAATGATATGATGAATATGTTGATACAATAAATGCTACAACATAAATAAGACGTAAATGTGGTTCATCTGTTTGTGATGCACGATCAAGTAAATCGGAATATTCCATTTCTTCACATAATTTTTGTAATAAACCTAATGGTTCATTTAATATAATTGGCATTGCTATACGAGATAAATCTTTGCCAATTGCTTTACGCATTATATTCCATAAACCAACATTTGATGTATCTGGTGCACCAACTGGTAAAGATGAACGACGCCATTTCATTTTAGGTGGTTCTTACATTAAAAAAAAATTATAATTAATAAAATTTTTAAATAACAAAAATTAAAAAAATTAAAATAATCATTTACTTAATTGAGGTAGAACAGATATTTGACGGTCCATTTCACTTACATGACTTTCATCTTCACCAGAACTTAATGACTCAGAATCTGACTATTAAAATGAAACAAATAAAACTTATTTAATCATTTGAAAATTTTCTAAAGAAAAAAGCGAATAAACTGTTATATATCATTTAAGAAAGTAGACATCCTGTAGACTTTACATACATCTAATACAAATTAAAATTCTTTTGTCTAAAAAAGTAGATGCTATCCCTTATTTAGAGATGTGCAATTTCAGTGTACTGACTCAGTGTAATCAGTAGAGCCTGTCGGATACAAAATTTTTCGATCCGGAATCGAGACCAAGCCGATGAGTCCTAGTAATCAGTACTCCAGTATCGATGTCTCATTGTCAGTATTTATACTTAACATTGCACATCCCAACTCGTATTTCAATGTTTCCAATTATATTTTATTTTTTCGTAACATACCAATTTTCCAAGTTCATCTTTATCATCATTTAACATTAGTGCACTATGAGCTTCTAGAGCATCATAAAAAATTGATCCTTGTCTTGACACAGGTGTTGTTGGTGACATTGAATGATAAATATTATCATTGTCTCTCATTGATGGATTATTCTAATAAAAAAATATTAATATTTTTTTTTTTATCAAAAAAGAAAAATATTTACTAATTGTTTTTGTTGTTCCAAAGCGACAACAGATAACTGTTTATAAAGATTATTTAAATTATCAAAAACTAAATAAAATAATTTTTAGTTTTGTTTTTTTCTTTTTTGTTATTAATAATCTAACCTTTTTTTGCTACATCATAATAATCTTGTCGTTGAAGATCAATCAATGAAAATGAATTTATACTACCTATACTAGCAGATGGTGTATGACCACTTGTTCTAGTTCCATCCTAAGTAATATATACATAAAAATAAAATCGAATACAAAAAAAACACTTACTGTTGATTTTGATGTTAAACTAGGCGTTGTTGTTGTACTATTTGCGTTTATTTTAATACGTTCAAGTATATCCGATAGATTACTTAATTGTACTTGGATGTTTGCAAAATCTATTCAAACAAAAAAGAAATAATATAAACGAATTACATAAATAAAATAACAAAATTTTACCATTATAAAAAATAGTGTCTGTTGATGGTACAGCACTAGAAAAAAAAACAACATATATATATATATTTTTATGTTGTCGTTTTTTTTTAAAATAATAATTTACGTATTTGTTAAATTGTTTTCATCATTATTTTCTTTAACAGCATTTTGAACAAATGAACTTTGTCGTTCAAGTAATTCTTGTCGATATTTTCTATGTATTGCTATTTGTTCAAGCCATTGTTCAAAAATTTTTTTTTCTTTTATTTTTATATGATAAACATGATTTGTTTCATCAATATTTATTCGTTGTGAATCACGAATAAATGTTACAATACATAAACCAATATCACATTTACCATTTATTCGACCACGTTTTATCTTAACGAAAAAAAAAAAAAACAAATGAAAATATTATATTTTTTTATTAAAACAAAAAAAGAACCAAGATAAATTCTATTTACATCTTGTTCAGATTTTCCATAAATCATATAACCTTTGTCTAATTGAAAAAAACGTTTATGCCAACCTCGATAAGGCCATTTACGTTTTTTCATTAAATAATTTGATAATGTAATCATTGATTTTGATGCATCATCATTAAGAACTATTGGTAATAGTTCTGAAATGCATGTCTATAATAATTCAAAACAAAATAAAAATAATGTATTTGATATGTATATTTTTTTTAATTTGTAAAAGAAAAAGGTGTCTTTTTTTTGTTTAGTATGATTATAAAATATATTGATTGAAATTAGAAATTTTCTTGTCTTTTATTTTTAATACCTTGCGTTGTTTTGGTCGTTTTTGACCAGGTGTTGCTATCGATCTATCGGTAGTTCCTCCTGGCATATCGTCATCAGATTCATCACCATTATCCGAATCGGTAATAACCTAAATAAATAAATAAATAAAAACATATGTATATATATATTCAAAATCATGTTTAAATACTAATTAAAGTCGAAAAAATAAAATAAAAATTTGATTATTTAAAAAAATGATCATCTCACTTGCTCATCAACATCCTCATCTTCATCAGGTGTTGTTGGTACGCTTGATTTAAGTGGTGTTCGTCGTTTCTTCGGAAAAAGATGAATTTCAAAAACGGCGTCATTCTGTATTTCTTCCAATGTTTTCAATTTCAATGCTTTTTTACTTTTTTGGTCACTCATCATTAGTTCAAACAAGTCTATAGCATGAGTAAGCGTTACTCTCGCATTTTATACAGTGAATGTGGTGTGAGAATAAAAAAAAATATTTTTTTCGTTCGTTCTTTCGTAGATATCCTTGGTGCAAATAAGTGAAAGCGAAAAGCAAATGTAAACATTTTCTTTGAAGGACACAGATGAGTGAGCGTACTTATAGTTGAAAGAAGAAAAAAAAATCTTTCTTTTTCAAATACATTTACAATTAATTAGTTTTTTCGTATTGTCTTCTATCTTTAAATAGATATACTGTTCGAACTTAGATGATTATATTCATTTTTATAAAAATATCGCCATGCTCTATATCGAATTTCGGGAATTAATAATTGGTCATATGTTTATCATGAAGTAAAGGGTAAGAAAATATGTTAAGCATGTAAAGGACGAAAAAATAAACAACAGAATATTTTAATAGATAATTATATCATAGAAAAAATTTTTAACCTAATTTTAGCCTGTATATTTATATTTGTTGTACGAAACCCTTGTAAAAAAATTTTTTAAGAGATGATTAAAATTCTCATACTTCGCGATTACTAAATATTATAGAGAAAAACATTAAAAATACTTGATATTTTTTACATTAATAATATCTTAATGATGATAATCATTCGAATGAATAATAAATTTTTCTCATATAAAATTCCGTCATAAAATAAAAAAGAAAATAATGAAATCAAATAAAAAATAAATATTTTCTTTTATCGAGAAGCTCAATAACTTCGACACCTTTGCAAAACTACAATATTTTTAATTTCTATGGATTTATTTTTTGTCACCTGATCAGTATTTGTTGAGATAGGAACTCGTAGCTGTGTTTCACGTACAAAAGGCCGTACAAATGAATCATATATAGTTAATAATGGTGTTGAATTTTGCATATTATCATTAATTGTAAATTATTTAGTAAATGATTAATATTCACAAAGATGAAGAAAAAAAAAGTGTAAGACAAATATCTCACAAAGAAAAGAAAAAACAAATCGACGAATAATTGTAAGGAAGTCTTACTTCCTTTCAGTATACTGCCAAAGGAAAGCAAACGCATAGTCTATTAGATGATGGTTTTATAGAAGAAAAAGAAAAAGTGACATTAAGTTAAGATCAAATAAGATGAACATAATTTTTCTATTGTTTTTTTTTTCTGTTTTCGAATAATAAAACTAATGATTAACTTACGGAACGAGTCTTTTGGTTTTTGTCTGTCGAATTAATCGATAGTGTTGTCACTGTTTTATGCATTTTTTATATTTGCTTTGTTACAATCACAATAAATTGTCTGTCATTTAATACTCTCATATACGTTGGCGTGTAAAGGATAGAATAGATAAACTAACATGCAAAACATATCATTCTGAAAGATTAAAAATCATAAAAAAACAAAAAAAAAATAACGAATAGCAGTAAATATCATAAATAAATTATTAAATAGTTTATTTCTAATATAGAAAAAAGAAGTCTGTTAATATTTCGCTCTGTCACATGGATGGATATATAATGGAACCAATCTGAATAGAAAAAACTTTTTTTTTTTGTCGATGGATCAATATATTTTTATGTTCCAAAGATGTCGCTTAGATAATGTTCAAAGAAATTTTATATCAAATGATCTTATTTCGAGATTATTCTTATCAAGATATTTGTTTTTTTCACAGTTATTTTGAACAATACAAAGTTGCGTTTTTATGTGTAAATCATTTGTTTTTCTTTGAAATTAATAATTTTAATGGAATATTAAAGAACGAATATATGATGTATGCTGTTCTTTAATACGCAGTTTTGTTATTTCCATAGAGACTCTTTTCATGTCTACATTTTGTTGACTGCTACACCTTGTATCAATATTGAAGTGGTCGACATACTTACTACTCATATTTTTTTGTTTATTGACTTTTTACCTATGTTGAATCACGTTGATTAATGAAAATAACATTGAAAAAAAAAACAAAAACAAAAATACTCGAATTTTTCAACAAACATTCTCTATTGTTTTTACATTGATATAAAGACGCCATTATTATGATTATATTTTTCAATATCTGAGAACAGCCATTGAATATCATATTCTCATAATCTCTATAGATTTCCTTTTCTTTTCATCAATAATAACTGCTATGCATCGTTAATGGCACTCATCATATTTGTTGGTTTTTTTTTATTAATAATAAAAAAAAATGTACGATGTAAAAATAATGGCATAAAATGTCGATTCCTATTTCTCTTCGATAAATTGATTCTCAAAAGAATATCTTTTTTATCAGTTAATAAGAAATTTTCATCCCTTTAGAATAGCGTATGATTCATATTTGTCACATATTGGTACGTGAAAAGAGACGATTGTTGTCTAATAAAATGTTTTTGACAAGTTCCTATAAAAATTACAATTTTATTGCGTGAGTATTTCTCTTTTTCTCTCATGTCATTTCATTTATGAATGTGTGACAAATACAAATCATAAACTGTTTGAAAGAGGAGAAAAAGTTCTATTATTTGGTTAAAAAAAAAACTATTTGTTTCAGCATCGTTTTATCGAAAAGAAATAAGAATCGACATTCTGTGCCACTACTTTTGCATCGCACTTTATGAATAAAATAGAGGTGTGACTTTTTTTTAATGATTACCAGTATGCAATTAAACCTAAATAAAAAGAAAATTCTTTTTTTTTGGTTTTTTTGACATAAAAACGGCTAATCCGCGTGTTAATACTTTTGGAATAGTTCGAGTACTTTTTTACTAATGAACAAAAAATCTTTTTTTTTTTAAATGATTCATTTTTCAATTCGCTACTGATCTAATGATTAATATTTTCAAATTTTTCATTAATTTACTTTATTCATTGTTAAATAAATTTTGGTCAATTTATAACATATAAAAATTCATCTTATAAATTTAAATCAGAATTTATGGAGAAGTCAATAATCGATTATTAAAAAAAAAAATAACACAATAATCATGTGAAGACTATTTCATATCATTTATTTGGAAAGATCATTGAACTTTCAATAATGAAGAAATCACTAAAATTTATTATATAAAATAGTTTGTTTTCTCTAATGAATTGTAATGAAGTTAACACAAAGACAAGATTAAAATAATGAATTCAAAATATTCAGTAAAGAAAATTTGACAATTAAATTAAATATTTGTATCATTTGTTTAAAAAACTTATTTAAAATAAATCAATAAATAAAGATAAGTGCTTCTGTGTAGAATTCAAAAATGAATCTTAAAAATAATATCTACATAGATGAATCAAACTTATTTTCGAAATATTACAAGAATAACTCGTTATGAATTACTCAATATTAGCATGACAAAATATATTCAAACAAAAAAAAATCAAAAATCTCAATTAATTCAAATCAGAGAAAGACAAATTTTTCTTTTTCAATAACATCTCCATCGGTATCTAGTTTTCATTTTTGTTTAGCTTTTTGGTTTTCTTTTTTACATAAGAATTTACCAAAGAAGTACTCTTATATAATAAAAAAAAAAAAAAAAAGAAAAAAGAATTTACAAATGAGAGAACGATAATAAACTTTGTACAAACAACCAGAAACGCATATACAATCCACAAACAAGAAACGTTGAGAAAAACAAAATACTAAACGAAATGTTCAGGAAACATAAGGGTTCGCTATCTGACACACACACACACACACACACTCATACACATGCACTTAAACGTGGAGAACTGAAAGAAAAAAAACCTGAGAAAGAAAGAAAAAAATGTAAAAACTAACAATTTTAAGTATATCGATATTTTCGTATTGAATCTGTTGTTAAATCAACACAAAGTACACAACCATCACTTGTTGTAGCTAATGAACAAGGTCGTCGTAAACGTTGACTATGTGAATCAATAATACGTAATAAATGACCTTGATTATCATAGATTTCAATATGAGCATTACCATCTTTTTCACATTTTCCTGCTAATAAAAGACCATTTTTATCTACACAAAGTGCTGTATAAAATCCTTAAAAGAAAAGTAAAATAATAAAAAAACAAGAATAAAAAAAATAATAATTAGTTTACCTCCTTTTGATATTAAATTATTAGTAGATTTTGTTTGATCCGATATTAAACTTCGTAATTGTTGTTGTTTATAATTTGATGGAATAAGATCTGGTGGTTGATGAGAAATATGTACATCAACATCAACAATTTGTTGTTGTGTTATTGGTAATATTTGTCGTAAATATTTGCCTTCATATGATAATATATGTATACGATGATCACTTATTATAATTTCATCTTGTAAACCAATTGTAAATGCTTTTATTGTTTTAATACCTAATGTACGTATATCAATTGTATTTATTAAATCACCTGTACGATTATTAACAATAAATAATATATTATTGTCACATATAAGTAATGAATTACGATGTTGATTAAATAAAGTTATTTGAACAGGTTCATTAAATGATGAACATGTTATTTGATAATTTATATTGATATTAATCTGACTATTTTCAATTAATGATGTATTAAAATTTGTTAAAGAAAATTCAGTTATAAGTTTACTTTTCCAATCAAGTAAATAAAATGTTGATGCTGAAGTATTATATGCAAGACCTGTACTTGTTGGTTCAAGAAGAGTATCAGTTGCTAAGAAAATAAAAAATGATTATAAATGAATTATCATATGAAATCTTCTTTTAGAAAATAGTATGAAAGGAAAATTTGGCAGAACTATTCGATTAACAGCAAAAAAGAAAAAAAAACGAAAATTGTTATTTTAAAATATGTAGTAGATAGTGCTTGTCGAGTCTTCTCATAGAAATTAGGAGCATGGTTCGAATTCAAAAATATTCGATCTAATAAGCTCTATTAGTGGAGATGAATGTGGTGGAGGATTCGTTAATTTAATTTTGACTTCATATGAAGATAGTTAAAAGTTTCTCTCTTTTTTCTTGTATTTATTTTATTTCGATGAACTATGTACAAGAAATTTTCAAGTTATTATGAATAACATACGATGTAGAAGAATGATATGAAAAATTTGTAATGGATAGAATAATTTTTCTTTTTTATGAAAGTGTTCTTGATATTGCTGCAGTTTTTTTGTCAAATTTTACATCAACAGATATTACTAAGAGAGTATTCTAGATTCTCTTCTATAGAGCTTTTCGTTCAACTGAAACCAGCTTAGAATGTTAACTTGTATAAATCTTATCTTATATAGTTCTTTCGGATATGTCAAAACAAGCAGAAAGCAACCGGATCTTCATTCATAATATGTTTCTAAATTCGATCATGACTCGTTTCAATTTATATTTTGATAAACCTGAACTAGATAGAATCCAGTATTTCTAGTCTGTCTCATACAGATTTAGTGACTATGGAAAATTGTCTTATTTTTTATTAATGACGGAAGGTTTCTAAGTATAACTCACCAATCGAACTGATATTTCGCTCAGAAGTAGGTCCCGATGAAATTAGTAGAAATCTATAAGGGTTTGTCTCTATACACTGTCCTTCTCAAGTTATTACAATTTTACTGAATCTTTTATCTCCGACAAGGTATTTGTGAAACAATCAAAACATGAAATTTCATATGTTGTTTCTCAGATATTGAATGTTGAAAATATTAGTCTTTAAATACCTCTCCTTGTGACATATGAAATTCCATGCTTGGTTTTTCTCACAAGTATCTTGTCAAGGATAAAAAAATTCAGCAAAACTATAATAACTTTGGGAGAACAGCGCATGGGGATGTACTAGTCTCATCGGAATCTACTTATAAGCAAAATATCAGTTCGATTGGTGAGTTAAACTTGTGTACATTCCTTTGTAAGTTATTAGAACTATTGTCTACTTTTAATATTGAAGTATAAAGTGAAAATTTCTTATTATTTTAAAAAAAAAGAATATCTTTTGTTCATTCTTACCTAGATGCCCAATAAATTTTCCATCTTGTGTCAGACATTTGATTCGACTATTTCCCGGATCGAGTACATAGATTTGTTCTCGTTCTGTACTATCATTAACAATAACACTCACCGGCATTGATAATTCATTATCACCACGACCACGTTTACCTGTTTTTTTTTTATTTAAAAAATCAAAATTAAAATTTTTTTTTATTTTCTTATTTGTCTTACCAAATGACCATAATGGATTATTATGTTTCGTTACATCAACAGTAAATGGTGAACCTGATATAGGTCGATCAAATATTCGTATATCAATTTTATGATTTCCACTTATTAATGGACGAAACATAATTGTATATTTTCCACATTGTTTATCTTGTAAATTATATTCACATAATTTTCCATATGGATCATAAATATTAACTGTTAATGGATCACCACCATCAACACGTACATTTCCATTATAATCAACTGTCTCAATATGAATAGCACATTGAAGATTAGCAACAGCTGGTTCAATTTTAGCTGTACATAATGGTGGATATGTTGCTGATACACGTATACGACCAACACTATTTAATGAACGTGCTAAATCTTGTAATGCTTGATTATGACGAAATTCAAATTTCATAAAAGAATTTTCTCGTGGTTCACTTAATAATGTCATACGTTCAATACGATCATTTAATTCTTGTATACGTTGAGTTAATATATGTATATCGGATGCTTGTTGAAATACAGCACATTCATGTTCAATTTTACTTTTTTCATCTAAGAAGAAAAACAAAAAAAAAGAGAATTTGAATGAATAATATAAAAAAAAAAGAAAACATGAATTTCAAAGAAAATTTACTTATTATAACATTTAATTGATCATTTAAAATTTTTAATTTATGATCTTTTGTTGTTTTAAGTGATTGTAATAAATGATGTCGACGATTTTCTACATAACTTTTTATTTCATTAAATGATCGATTAATTGCTTCAGCTAATAAATAATAAATTATATAAAAAATAAATTTTCATCTATAGAAAATTTTACCAGCTTTTTCCATACTACTATCAAGTCGCTTAACTTCATTATTAACAACTTCAAGTGCATGATCCAAACAGTTAATAGCTATAAGAAGTAAAACAGAAAAAAAATAATCATTTGAATAAAATAAAAAATAAAAGAATTTTCTTGACTATGTAATTCGACCTTCTACAATGACTTCTTTAAAAATCTCACGTTAATGATAATGATACATTATTTTTAAATACTAACCATTCATCAACAGACCGATCAATCAATCAAAACGAGAAACATGACAATGACAGTTTCTTGTTGTACTGTCTAATAAATATAGTTAATTAATTATTGTCGAATCTTCAATGGACTAGAGACGTGCAAGACCAAGGCTTTTTTTGTTTTATCCCGATTAATTTTTGGGTTGTCTCTCTTGAATTATGCTGTCATTTATAACATAATTCGCTGAAAACCATAGAATATTTAATTATAATCTTTAGTTTCGATTGGTATATCTCTTTTTCTTGTAGTTCCGATCCCTCGAATCTCTCAAATGTTGATCTTGGTTACTGAATTCAGTGCTAAAATTGATTCTGCACATCTCTAGAATGAATCGATATATTCATCGAATTAAGAAAGAATGTATTCTAGTTCAATTCGGCAATTTGATTATAAATTGATAAGATTTATTTCAATTTAATTTTTGAAAATCTTACTTTTTGATGCTTTAAAAAATAAAATTTCATTCATCCGTTTAATAGCTAATGAAAATGGTACAATAGTATGTTCAGCTGATATTTGATGTTGATCACATAATTGACAAAAAATTTTATCGCATGTTTCACAAAATAATAATTCTTCATTTGTATGTAAATTACATTTTGGTACAACATCACGTCGTAAACGAACCAGTAAATCAAGTAATTGATTAACAATAAACGATGGTGGAAAAGAAGTAACACCACCTAAAATTTTAATTTGTTGTCTTTTTTTTTGTTTAAATACGAAAAACAAAAAAAAACTAATGTATTTATTTACCTCTAGGTAATAAAATATGTTCACGACAGATTGGACCTATTTATTAAAAACAAAAAATTAGAAAATAATGAAATTTTTTTTTGTTTTCTCTTTAACATACATTTAATAGCATCTGATCTTGGTTGAGAATTAACAATACGTTCTAAACATTGTCGACAAACTGTATGTGAACATGGTAATAATTTTGGTTGATGATCATAAGAATCAGATGAAAATTGATTAATACATGTTGAACATGTTAAAAAATGTTCAGTAAAATCTTTAGCATTGATATTAATTGTTTCGACTAATGTTGAGCCCATTTAGAATTCTTAATCGGTTTCTTTTTTTTTTCTTATTTATTATTCTCGTATAAACTTTGTTGTCACATCACATCTGAAGCTTTTATATATATATGTATATATGTATATATTATATCTATATGATCAACATAAACTGACATTGATGTATGATCCAACAAGAAATAGAGTAAGACAAAATAAAGTAACACCAAGGACACATATAACCTTGTCTCTAAATCATCAATACTCTTTTACTATACTTTACTTTAGTCTTTGACACACCTCAATTAGATACATATAAATACAGACAATGAGTAAAGATCATGCAGCCATCATATCAACAATATAATAAGCAAACTGAGTCAAGGAGAAAAAAGAAATTAGATAGACACATTACATACATGTTCTGCATTTCTTCAACAAGATTTGACTCATTGAAGGATTTTCATTAGGATAAGAATTATTAGAATATATATTAATTATTTCTGTTTTTAATCTATGTAGAAGGACAAATATCAAGTCTTGCCAGACATTCTTAGAAATTAATCATATCTCGATATGGCAACCGCTATTTCTAATTACTCTAGAGATTTTATAAAAGCCTTGTAAAATGAAAAAAATAAACTGATATTGATTTCTAATAGATTTATTTATTAGAAATTCTGAATAAATCTAAAATATAATAATATTGATAAAAATCAATTCCAATACTTTTATCTACAAAAAAATAAAATAAAATCTTAACAATTAAATTGAAAAATTTCAATTTTATCGCGAGATTTATTCAAGCATGAATATTTCTTTTAAGAATGATGACTAACATAGTTTACTCATATGTCTTTGGCTTACCATTATTTTTATAAATATGGCGTGAGCACCTTCTATATCATGTCCCGAAAAAAAAAAAAACGTTTTATCGTTCTACATTTTGAATAAAAAAAGAGAAAAAAGTTTTTTTTTTTCTTTTGTTGAGGTCAATCAAATAAAAAGAAAAGGCTTTGATCGATTAGTACAAGTATTTTTTTACGAACCTGTTGCTGTAGGGTTTAACACTTATTTGTGCTACTAATGAACACAAACGCTCGACGGGTGTATGCGTGTCATCACAATCATTCAAACACTGACACTAACAATAAGTGACATTTATGTTACTGATGATCATGCTTACTTATTTTGGAAGGGTGCATATGAGAAAAGAAAAAAAAAAAAGAAGAGAAAAATAGGAAAAAGAAAGAAATGACGACGATGACGATAGATATCGACATATTTTTTTCTTTCCTTTCTTTTCTTTTATTCTGCGCAAATCACTTGCAGATGACATGATCATCTGCTTGCTCGTGTGCATAGTAACTGTTGGTCTGCTAGATTGTAGATAGAACAACAAGAGATCAAAAAAAAACAAATGCAAAACGCCCGAGCAGGGGCTCGAACCCTGGACATTGTGGTTAAAAGCCACACGCTCTACCGACTGAGCTACCCGGGCCATGTTAATTGAAGGACGAAATCATTTTATCTTTTTGTTTTGTTTTAACAATTATTTCTTAATATAAAGGAAAAGAAAATCGTATATTTAATTTTTACTTTTTGTGTTTAAAGATCTTTTTATTGATATGTTTGTAATAATTTTAAAGGTCAAATAATTTCTATAAGAAAAAAAACATTCTCTCATCACGACATTTAATCGCATGTGCGTGCCAGGGTCGCAATAGATGTTATAAGCAAAAGATTGACCTTGTGTCATGTCATTTGTTTCAATATTCGAACATTTTTTTTTTATTCTCGAGACAATCTCAAAGAATAATCAGGATGCGAAATATCATCGTTTCTCAAGGTTCTATTATATGATTAAAGAAAGAATAAATAAAAGATAAATCTATATAATGCCATAAAATAATATTAATCATGACATAAGTTATATATATTGTTCATTATATACTATAACACATAGTGCAGATTCGTCCGATCAGTCATTCATTCATTCATTTACTTTTCATTAGATAAGAAATACTTATACGATATGTTGTTTTATCAGACAAGAGTTTTTCCCTTTTCTTTTTTTGTTCCTTTGAAAGCATACTATCAATATCTCATATTACTTTTATTTGATATTATAGAAGAAAATAAAACAAGAATCTTTTCTTATGCTTTTATAACTTTTTCTTTTCCATTTGATTTTAATGTCTGTTAATTATGGTAATAGCAAGCAAGTCTAAACTCTTATGTGTAAATATCTTAACAAAATGTTTTATGATGATACGAGAATATACATTTATCGAAACAAGTGTAGCAAAAAACAATTTAGTGAAATAGAATATAAAAGGTCATATATCAAAGTTAGAGAAAAAAAATTTATCACTAATGTATGAAATAATGACTTACACAAAATCATTTGAGTATAATTTTTCGGCCCATCAATGTCTAATGTCTACGAGACTGCTTATTCACATAGTCATTTTTGATCTATTCTTTTCTTTCACTCTGTTTTTACATATTCTCCTATACTCTCGTGCGACACAATGTTCATTTTTTACTTCTCCCTCTCTCCTTTTGGTCTAGTGAATCGATCACGAATCGAGCATCATATGCAAACAAATGCAGCAATATATTTAAATGAGGCTCGCCACCTTCTTTTTTTCTACCGCTATCAAATAATAATCATATCAATGAAAGAACATATACATAGATCGAGAGAGAGTGACAGAAAAAGCGAATATCCTTTCACTATATTACTCTTGATTGTGCAAACGCGACAAGGAGCTCGATTATCCCTCATCATGTCAAAGTATGCACATTGTAGACTCACAATCTAGTGTTGACAGTAAATAGAAAAGAAAGCAAAATTCTCACAATAGAAAAAAAAATCTCCGTAATACGCATAAATATTTCACACAATTTAAACAAAACGATAAATGAAATATGTATTTAAATGAAATGTAACATACAATAGAAATTTTATGCTATCAATATTTCAATACTTTTTCTATACATGTCAATTACTCGATGAATATAATAAAAATGACAATAGACAAAATCTACTCATGATCAATTTAGATGAATCTTATTCATTGACTAAACATCTTTTTTTAGATATTGTATTAAGATTATAATAAATAAATCTAAACTCATTTCTTCCCAACAAATCAAATTTTATCTTGTTTATCAAATCATTTTTGCCATATGATGATAAATAGTGATAGTCTATTTTTCTTTCTAGTTTACAAGGTGATCGAAAGAAAAAAACATTACTCTCTTATGAAATATAATTTTTATATTTATGAAATTTAGCTTTTGAAATCAATTTCATTTTCAATAGATAGTAGCTGAAAAATATAAATAGAATCATTCTTATTTTGAACACATTCTATCCTCAGTGGAAATAAAGAAGAAATTCATGAAATATGAAATCTATTCCAGAACAAAAATAGTGTTATGACTTGAAATTTTCAGACTATGTTTCTCAATATTATTCACAACTTAAGTATACATAGAAATCATTTTGAATTATTGCTAAATTTATACTACATTATTTGAATTCGTTTTGTAGTACAATCAATTGTAAGTAGAGTGCTTCAATAGCTAAAAATATCTCTCAATTATTAAGAAATTTTGGTTTCATTATAAGAAATAAAGTACAATATAATAAAGAAAGATAGAACTATAATTACCATCAAAGTTAAATAATTCTATTGAAACAAAAAAAGAAAGCAATCTTTTGTAGATTGAAGTTTTACATTCCATTGTGAGTATACATAGATTCGATATTTAATGAATTTATTGTTTGTCTTCAGTTATAATGGAACATTTTGAAAATAAAAATATCTCCATCTAATAAGTATTTCTAAGTTCTATTTATTACAAAGATAATTGAACAAAAAACAAAAATAAATTCTAGAGAAATAGGTCGACTATCCTGTGATATATTCATTAAAGAAATTGAAAGAGATAGGAGTAAATCTATAGATATGCAGCTATTTTTCTGGAAAGCAACTTTGATTAAGAAAGTTTGCCGAATTTGTCTGAAATGACGAAGATTTGCAGCATTTTCCAGGAATGACTAAAGAAGATTTCACCAGTGATTTTAAAATTTCGAGCTGATTTTTTTTCCACAAGTAGAGACCTCCTAGATTAGTACAAACTTCAAAGGATTCTTCTTTTCATTGAGATATGACTGTATTTTGAAATATTCATATCACTATGAAAAGAAGAATTCTTTGAAGATTGTTCTAATCAAGTAGGTTTTTACTAATGAGCAAAATATCAGTTCAAAATCTGGAAATTACTGATAGAATCTTCTTTAAACATTTCTAGAAAACATTGCAATTTCATTTCACACACAAGTTGGTAAATTTTTTCAGCCAAAGCTTCTTTTTGATCACTTCCCATCGAATTATCATGAAGAAAAGTCGATAAAAAACGTTTTTTTTTCAAAGACGTAGTTGAATACCTTTAGATCTACTCAAATCTGAATAAACAAAAAGCAATCTACTAAACTTCGTCTATTTTATTAAATATAATGGGAAGGTGTTAGAAAAAATTCAATGTCTCTAAAAGATACATGGTAATGACATGATGGATACAAACAAAAAAAAAGAAAAAAAGAAATGTATTTCTGTTCGCATTAGAGCCAATTATAAGATAATCAACTATGTGACGACTCCTATAAAAAAAAATTTTTTTTTAAAATTCATTGTTATTATTCTCATTTTGTTTTTTTTTCTTACTTTTAATAATTGTTCATCAGTTCTGATTAGTGGTAATGGTTGAGGATGAACATATGGTGAACGAAAATCATTTTGACAATTGCTATAACCCATTCCTAAACCTATTCCTGTACCCAAGAAAACAGGCCATGGACGACCTAGGTTTTTTTTTTAAAAAGATAAAAATATCATGAATATCGATGTTTATATTCAATAAATACTTACGTTTGAAGAGAACAGCAGAAAAGACAATACCCAAAGCAAGACCAGATGCTGAAATACAAAAAAAAACAGAAACAAAACGTATAAGCATTTATATAT